AAAAAAACATTAACGTGTGTGCTTTGATTGAACTTACTAAGCAATTTAATGAGAAACTGCAGCAGGTTACTTTAGACCAATTTATGTAGATACGTTAAAAAGCCACCAAGATTCACTTTTCACCAGTTTTCCAACCACATACATGATTGGTTTCAGTTTGCACACTAAACATAAAACCATATATCCACTTCTCAAAATGGAGTGTTTTTTTGTTTGGGTTTTTTCTTTTTGTGGGCTGTAGTGTTAGGGGGTTGGAGGGTATCATGGGGGGGGGGTGGCATTCATAAGCAGACCACTGATGTGGTGAGCTGTTTTGAAAGCACCATTTGATGGTTTCAATGTTCCATTAAATATTTTCCAGTGATGTGTTAAAACATTTTTTTTGCCCAAAATTTGACATTTTTGTATTGTAGTGCACTCTGTAGACAGACAACCTTTTTCCAAAGGTTGGAACCATTTGTCAAAAACTCCTCTTTAAGATTTTATATAACACGAGCTGATGAAAAGAATCCTCTGGTCCTTTGCATATCTTAAAATGAAATAAATACAACCTCAGATGAACAACAGCATGAGACACATTGCACGGTGTCATTGTTTATTTAACAAATACTGAACCTAAATGCAGAAGCAACGTCTGAAAAACAGAAAAAGTGCACAGCATGATTCAGTATTTTGTAGAACCGATTGTTTATCAGATCGCTTTCTGTATGACTTTATCGTTCTCTCGCATCAGCGTGAGAGAAACGCAGCCCACTCTTCTTTACACAGTTGTTTCAATTCATTGAAATTCGCAGCATTTGTTTACGCAAAGCTCCTCCCACCGCAGCATTTCAGCCAGGTTGAGCTGTGGGCCATTGCGACACCTTGATTCTTTTGTTTTTCAGCCATTCTGTCCTGATTTGCTGCCGTGTTTGGTATCATTGTCCTGTTGACCCAGTTTGGGACGAAGCTTAGACTAGAAACTAATAATAGAATAATTTGGTTTACAGAGGATCCATTTAAAGACTGCAAGGTCCCCAAATCATCACCCCTCCTCTACTGTGCCGACAGTTGTTATTAGGTGTTTGTGCTAATATGCTAATAATGTGCATTATTCGGTCATGTCTTGTGGTTTATTCCGATCCAACTTTGCAAATCTAAACGACGCTGCCACGTCCTTTTTAGAGAGAAGATGCTTTTTCCAGGCACCCCTTCCAAACAAGCCATACTCGTCATGAACTTTAACCTTTAACCTGCCTTTTTGTATTTCTTTGATCATTGTACCTGACCTTACAAGATGTTTCTGATAGGAGGATTGTAGCATTGTAGGAACCTGAATGCTCCAGACTAGCATACTGCTTTTATAGTTTATGATCAGCTTATCGAGTGTAATTCATTAGAAATGCCTGGGAAAGGTGTACTTAGTTTGAAAATGTTCTTATTCACATGACTTCGTGACTTTCATGTATGCTATGAAACCAGTGCGCTCTGACGGTAAATGTGTATTCTATATTTGAGCCTCATTTTGAGGGTTGTGGTTTTCATTATTCAATTATCTTTCATTGTTTTGGTTGTCACACAGGGAGGAAATGCACCTGAAGATACTGAAAGCGTTTGTTGGTCTGCATGAGTTCTCAGACCTGAATCTGGTGCAAGCACTGAGGTTTGTGAAAGGAAGCTTGGAGTGTTGCAGCAGTTTTACCTTTAGTCTTGCTTTCGTCCTTATTA